TAAACTAGATTTGCCCAAGCACGAAAATCAAGATGCGGCAGTTTTTACACCGAGGACATGTGTGCGCTGTCAATAAAAATAAAGCCCTTTGTCATTAACCTATGCATGGTGTTGAAATGTGGGAGAACATCCAAACTGACACCCAAAACCGTCCAACTGTGAGGCGGATGTGCTAACCACTAATCCACTGTGCTGCCTCAATTTAAAAAGCTTGCTCGCCAGGATATAACCCCTTTAAAATCTAAACATTCCTGTCGGGTGTGGTGCCTGGTGTTTTTATTTTGTTTGTCCCCCTCGAACTTTATGCTGGCTATGGGGGCAAAGGTGAGGGGGTGAAGGGTCACTGTCGGGAGCTACCCCCCCCCCCTTACACACACACACACACACACACACACACACACACACACACACACACACGCACACGTACTAACGCCTATACGAAGGAAGAATGACTAGAGCACACTGAGAGAGAAAACTGGGAAGCTGTAACGAGTGACAGAGACGACAAGTATGGGGGGGTGCTAGGTGTGGGATTTAGAGGAGGGTAATAGATGGAGTGGGAGGGAAAGGAGGAGGGGGTACTAGTGGATGGAGAGGAGGAGGAGGAGGAGTGGGTTGAGAGGAGGTCACGTGGCCACACGGCAGCTGCAAGGCTGGGGGGGGATGAGGAAGGGTGGTGGGGGGCAGAGTCACAGAGGAGCACAGACGACGAACAGGCGGAAGAGTGAGCAGGACGGTGAGTGTCTGCTTGTTTGAATTATGCACACATGCACATGTTACTATGAAATGTGCATATGTGTGTATGTGCATGTGTATATGGTGTGTGTGTGAGTGTGTTTATGTGGTGCTGGACTGTCATGGGAATATGGCAGCAAGATTGTGGCGAGCAAAAGAAAAGAAAAAGCAAGCAGCGTGTTGTTGTTGGCTTTAGTGAAATGAGCTCCCGGCGTGCTGAGATAGATGAGAGTGAAGGAAGAGATGGGGGAGGAGGAGAGGAGGAATGGGGGGAAGACGAAGGCGGGATGCCGAGGAAGAGAGAGAGTGCATCGATACTCTTATCTTCTCAACCTCAGCAGAGCCTCATCAGGATCTTTTTTTCCCCCCTCATCCCTCTCTTTGTTTGTTACTCTTCTTTTCACTCAAACTTGTACTCAGGGTAACCATGTACAGTTACTGTACGGAAGTACATTTGCCAGCTATCTACATGGAGTGTCTGCACTAACTTTGGCCCCTCTGGTTGTACATGCTGTGTGTATATTTGCATGTGTACACATGACAGGGTGTTCAGCTGCAAGTTGACAGTCTATTTCTCTCCAATGGCTCTTTTTGTGACTTTTCTTTTAGCATGTATGTGAAAGTACTCACACTCTGTACTGTGCAGATACTTGTGTTTAAAAAAAAAAAAAAAGGTATGCTGATTCCACTCATTTACATAGTCTGGTAAATTTCCAAAATATGTTTCTTTACAACTGACATTAGTTTTCACACAAAATGCTACTAAATAGTTGAGCAAAAAAAAAGTTCAACTTTTTTCGGGGTGCTGTGAGCCCAAAATCATAGTTGTAGCAGTTCGACAGTTTCTCATAAATTCATTTGTTCATAAAAAGACAAATTTTCAAAATATGCCACTTTTTAAACTTTTTTGTACAAAATCCAACTGATTGTTGAGCAAAAAAATTTTTTCCCTTCTATATTTTCGCGCAAACTGTCTTTTTTTTTTAGGTTGTTGTGAATCGACAGAATTTACTTCCAGACAATTACAGTTACATTTTATATGGCAGTATATATATATTTTAATCCCAATACTTTAACGCAACAGTTTAGTTTAGGGTCTCAATTATGACATAAGACGAGATAGATATGTTTCTCACACATTTTTAACGTATTCCTCTCTTGCTCGCTCAGTTCTTACAAGCTAACTTCAAGCTGTTTAGTTGTCTCTGCAAAGAAACTAAGAAAATTAGCAAATGCAAAACAATAGTCTGCTCGCGTGCAAACCATCATAAATGGGCTAACGGAATTTAACAGATGTCACAGCAATTGATAATAATTATAACATGAATAATAACAATGATACTGTGGCACTCACAAGGTAGTGAGGACAATGGCACTTAGATTTTTGGAAGCAGAAGAACAAGCTTACGTCTTATTCACACCCCGCAAGTGTTGGCAAGTCATTAGTCAACATGTCATGCACAATCACGTTGTCACATTGAAGCCAAACTTATCACAGCAAATTGAATAAAATGTAAGCTAATAATGAAACAATTCAAACAACGACAGAAGAAACAATTGACACAAAACATGCTTTTAAACACGATTTGCATTCTTAGTGCTGCAAAGCATGCTGGGAGCGCATCCAGTCTCCCAGCAATGCTACAACACCTTTATTAATACAGCACTTTTAAAAACACAGGTTTAAAAAGCGAGGAAAAGAGAATACACAAAACAAAAAATCCTTTCTGGAAGACTGAGCTGTAAACCTAATGGACATTAGCATGCTACTGTTGTTACAAACCTTCAAACAACTCCTTCAACACTCACAGAGCAACAATCCATCTAAACAGGACATACGACAGTACTCACATACATATATAGTCTGCTACTCTGTGCGAACAAAACACACAAAAAAAAAAAAATACTGGCGCTTGGTTGGCGACCTTCTCAGCCTCGTCTTCCCCTTCTTTGAATATTACCATAAGACCTCACAATGTGGTGCTACACCGAAGACGTGCAATTCTGAATACGGAGGTGTCAGCATCCTGTATAGCCCCTGTCCACCCCCACCACAAGAAAATAAACGCTGCTTAAAAATATCTGATAAATGTTTTGTGTTGCTTTAAAAAAAGTCACAGCACCTTCTACTGGCCTGGCATGCATATTACAACCATTTTTGCATTTTTCAAAGAAAATGTGGCTCTTTCGATTCGGTTAACATGATGAGTAAAACATTGCACAGTGTCCAATGTGTTTACCACTGTTTATCGCTTTTGTGTGCGAAGGGTGATCGTGTGTGTCTTTGTGTGGTGGTAATGAGGTCATGGCTGTGGTGAGCGAGCAGGGGGGTAGGGTGGTAGTTGTAGTGTAGGGGGCTGCTGGCTAATTCCAGCTGTAATTAACATTAGTGGGTGAGTGAAAGGGTTAGAGAGGAGGCGGTGGAGGGTTTGGGACAAAGGTTGCTCCAGCCTATGTTTGCGCTAAGTGTGCCCACTAATCAATAGATTATAGATTCAAGATCAGCCTAATTGGCCCCAGGGAAATTTGTGTTTGGACGTCACATGAAAAGCTACACGCAATTACGTTGCATTAACGGACATAAAAGCATCTACACGTGCACTCGCCTCCTTGTGTTCCCCTTGCTTTTATGTGGGAGGCACACAAATAGACTTCTTATTGCTTTTCAGGGATCTTGGATGCAATCAGAATTGTGAAATGGTTACCTGAATGCGCCACATAGGAGATGAGCCTGATTTATGTAGGCAAGCAAAAATAGAATTGCGCATACAATGGGACCTTGACAGATGAGTTGAGTTTATTGCATGACCAATATTGGAAGTCAATCTACTCAGAAATGAAATACATTTTTTCCCTTTGAAAAGCATTGGAAATCAAACTGTACAAGTCTTCCCAAATGCACCACAATTTGTTTTGTATTTTGATAAAGAAAAATAGTGCTGCATTGAATAAAAAGATAATCAGAGAATGTAAATAAATTAATTGCCTTTTTTCAAATGAACAGTTTAGGGCGAGGGATATATATTCAAACTTATTTTACTTGCCCCACACACTTAAGACACATTTAAACTTATCAAAATATATTAAAATCTATTAAAACACATTTTTTAAATTGTTCCTATTGGCACATGAGTTCAATCTCTCTCTGCCTTACAGAGTTCTCCGCTAAAGAGCTGCTTTTGTGTCTATCAGTTCAAGTCAAAGTGTCAAACTCAAGGCCCGGGGGTCAGATCCGGCCCGCCACGTCATTTTATGTGGCCCACGAAGGCAAATCATGTGTGTCAAATTCCATGATCCTAGCTAAAATCTGGACATTTTGCAATAATGTTGTTACCCTGTTTATACTCACTTGAACACTAAATGAACAAACAACAAAAAAATAGTTGATTGATTTCAAAACTGGTCATCCACCCATTTGTTGTGTACAAGTAAGAATACAATGACATGATTAAACATTTATTCGGTTTCACTGTCATAAAGGCCCTCCAAGGGAAGACGTAGCTCCAAAGTGGCCCACGACAAAAATGTGTATGACACCCACGGTTTAAGTTTACTTTAAACTGACAAGCAAAACTGTTTAAGATTGTCTATTAAAATACCAAAACGTTGAAACAAGCCATACATTTCAGGAAATGAAAGTCCGCTAACTTAATGCTAACATACTGTTCAAGCTACTTTACATTCCTACCTGAGCAAGATGAATGAATGCATTCTAGAAAAGTGCCTCAATGCAAATTTAAACCTAAGTTTAGCATAGGTTAGTCCTGACCAACTTTTATGAAAGGCTGTTATCTATAATCCTAAAGGCAGCAATATTTAAAGCATCAGGTTATTGTAGAAGAGTTTCCACGTGAAGACGCTTGAAAGTTTCATGCTGTCCACCAAATACACAGCATACAGCAATGCTCACTGGAATATAATTCCCTACAAACCTCTTGGAAAAAGTGTTTTTTCCACTTCTTTCTTCAACAGTGACACACTTTGTACCAATATGCCTTCATTTGTGATGGCGCTTCCTGTTGGATTCTTGTGTCTTTGTAACGGTCAAGGGGTGGCGCTGTGTCAAATAGAGTGCTGAAATTTGGAAAATTGATTTGATGTATGAGCAAAATTAGTTATGAGATTGTCAGGGAACAAAATAACCCCATAGTCAATTCAGAATCATTGGATTTGTATTGAATTTGATTCAAATGAATATTAAACTGTCCGGTGTAGGTGTCATGTCATGAAGCTTACGGTGCGCCTTTGTGCTTCTCCACTCACAGGCATGAGCCATGAGTCCACCAAGTCGCCGCCATTAGGAATGGTCTCCACGGCAACTCGCACCACGGCCACTGTCAGTCCCCTCAGCCCTCTGACCAATGGGAGCGCACTCGCCCAGTCTTCCAACTCCGGATTCGCTGCTGCCCTGCGCAAACTGGCCAAACAGGCTGAGGATCCCCGAGGTGAATGACACGAGGCGACTGTTTGTTCATCGTCAAAAGTCATCTTTGGTGTATCATTTGAATCATTTTGATTTTATTTTTCGAATGAATTTATTATTTTAACATATTTTTCTATTCGTGAGGAATTTCACCTAATATTTGCATCTTAATTAAAAAAAAAAAAAAAAATTAATTTGTTCCATGACCATGCTCTGAACTCACAGCACTCTTATCCCAAAACAACTTTCCCCATTGTAAAGTGTTAGAATGCCATTAATCCGTTGCAGCCCCACCAAAAACAGCTGCGAAAATTAGAATGTGTTTTAAATAAGAAAAACATATGAATGAACATGAACTGATGGAGGTCGGATGTTGTAAAGTGCATTGCTGCCATCCAGCAGCGATCTGACACTCACTCATAAGCCAAACTTTTGCTCGCAACTAGACCTGTGACGATAATTACTCTATCGACGTATTGTTCAATGAATTAAATTGACATGAGTTTTTTTCCTGCAGAGAAATTAGTTTAATTGCACCAAGAATTTTGACTGAGGGTTTAAAATCAAATGTAACAGTTGCAATCATTCACTGGATGTGTGTGCGTGTGTCAGGCCATTTTTTTCTGACCTCTCTGTCTCTCCCTTTTTGCCTTTCCGTTCATCGCCTAATAATGAGAATCTAATTAAGGCCAATTATAACAAGCTCTCTTCCTGCGGCTTCCCGTCACTCTTTCTCTTCTTCAGTGTCTCTTGGCAGCCTTCCTCTGCTTCGTTATTGTCCTCCTTTTGTGTTTCTGTGTGTGTACGCTGTTTAGTCAGTGTTGCATTAACCAATTTTGTGGGTCCCTTTTTCAACCAATGCATAATGGTACGTGTCTCTTTTTTTGCCCTTTTTCACACTGCAACTTTTGACATTTTATAGTGTTAGACCTGATCTCATCAGGCTTCCCAGTGGTTTTCTGAAAAAGCCTCATGATTTATTTTGAGGGGCTCGTTTGTGAAACTTGAAAAGGAAAAAATCCTACATTTACAAGTTTGAACTACTGTCCAATAATAAAAAAAAAACATTTGGTCCCAGTTATCTCCTTTTTTTTATTATCCAATGAAAATTCCAAGTACTTTTGATTTTTTTTTCAATTTCTAATCACTATCCAATGAAAATCTACATAAAGAAAAATCATCATTACTGTGTATGGAAAAACTCAGCCCCCACAATTTTATTCCATATTTTACCTGAGTCCAATGAAGATCTTGATTTCTTTCCATTTTGTTTTTCATTTCCATCTCAATCAAACTCAGGTTTGGCCCTCAGCGGTGAGTCATCACCCGTGTCTTCGCCCGCCACCAGCCACAGCTCACCGGTCAGCACGCCGAAGCAGGCCACACTAGGGCCTCTCTTGGCTCAGTCCCGGGGCCACGCCATTGTCCCGAGCACCCCTCCCGTGGTCACCATTGCGCCTACCAAGACTAGCAACGGCCTGTGGAGGGCCGAAGGACGACAGGTAAGGATGAAGAGAGGCCTGAAATGTTTTTTTTTTTTTTTTTGGTTTTGTTTTTTAAACTCACTTGTATATCAAATCAACTGTCCCCATTAAAATACAATTAACCCATTCCACACCCCAGAAATTTGACTTTCAATATTCAAATAGCTTTATAGAAATCCATTTGAGCATTTATTTGATACCGACGATATCCATCTTAAAGTCCAGGTACAAGTATGCTCTTTGTCCTCATGAGTAAGACAATTCAGCACACTAGTCAAGTAGAATCACTGTATTTTAATAGTAATGTTTATTTCCATCACTGCCACGGTATGACTTTTCTGCACGCATTTTGCACTAGATGGCAGTTGTGTGATATGCATGTTAACATCGTAATAGTCAACATCTTGTCAAAATGTATGCGTGCGTGCGTGTGTGTGTGCGTGTGCGCGCGCGCATGCATGTGTGTGTCTGACCCTCCTCCACCCCATAAGGCATAAAGACATGAAGAGGGTCTTGTGTGCATCTGAAGATGTTTACTCATGGAGGGGCAAGTTTTTTTTCCCAGACAATACAAAAGCCCCCTCCACCACCACCGCCGCCTTGGTATACCCTCTTGGATAAGAGATGCCTTTCTCCTCCTTCACAAAGACCACTCTGTGGCTCTGCCCACCGGAGGGGCAGTGGGGGGAGGTCTCCTATTCAGACGTGTAGGCATAACAAGAGGGAGGCGGCAATGAAAGAGAATAGGATGTGAAGGAGGGAAGTGATGGGGAGCAAGAAAGGCCAGGAGAGTAAAGGCAAGCTCACGATAGGTTGGCGACGATCGGGTGTTATGTGCATTTGGTTCGACAAGTTGTCAATTAGATCCCACAAAAGCACAACAAATTACAGCCTGCTCTGTCCATAGAAAATGTTGCAGTTTCTGAGTCTAAATTTGGACTTGCGGTTCTTTAAAATTAGTATGATTGCACCAAGATAGACACTTTTTGTTTTTTTTTTTATATCAACCATTATAAATACCAAGGCATCTGAAAATGGTGATCCTTTTATAACCAAGTAGATCCAATACAGGGGTAGTAGCGGAAATGTGAAATAAAATTAAATAAAGTAAAACTACCAGACAGGATAAGCAGCAACAACGATATATGGCAATTGTAACTGAGATGAGAAAAATGGAACTGAAAATCCATCAATTCATCCATTTTCTAATTCACTTATTCTCAAGAGGGTCGCAGGCGGCATTGAAAATGCCGGGCAAAAATGATTAAACCAATAGTGGCCAGTCGGCAGGTTCCACCCTGAACTATTTGCCAGCCAATTGCCATGAAAGCAGCAGAAAATAAAATTAAAACAAATAACGGTTACCAACGGTCACTGATTGTATGTGATCACTGCAGTAGTTTTCCACTGCAGGATAACGAGAGAAACTACTCATGGAGTCTGAATTTGCTTTTCGTGAGCGCTGCATTCAAATACATTAAAACTTAATTCAAAGTGTGCATATGTCAGCGCACAAGCACACTAGGATGGCTGATTGGGTGTTTGCTTGGATTTGTTTGTGGCTTTGACAGTGGTTTGTCTGCCCATGTTGCTATTGGAACAAAGTTTGACTCAGTCATTTTGTGGCATCAGAGCAAAAACAGAAAAGAAAAAGAAAAAACAATTTTTTTTCTTTTAATATATGCATTTTACATTTAATCCAGTGTATTTCACTCTCTGTAAAGTTAAAGTTCTGTCCACTCTTAGACGCTGTGAGCTTGTTTGATGAATGCACTTAAAGCCACTCCTTGCTCAACTTCCAACAGTCAGTCACACACAACTAACACATGTCCTCACTTCCCTGCATGTTTTGGGCCACAAAAACATATCTGTTGAAAGCTTCCAGTGGCTGAAATATATCCCACCGGGTCATAACGAGGCTTTTTCAAACCGTGACAATGAGGCACTCTAAAGGGGGCCACACCAGCCTGAAGACTTGGTCCTCAAGATGGCTGTCAGATCCGGTTTATTTTTTCCTCGCACTTCCGCGTTCTCCCCGTGGCATGTGCACACTCACCGCCAACAACGAGGCACTCTAAAGCAGTCACAGGACTATCTGAAAGGAAGATATATCATCGGCATAGGTAACTCGCTAGCGGAGTTACTTGTGTTAGATAACCGCTGATACAAGCGAAGGCACTTAAGTTTTTATATCGTCAGGGAGGATGCCAGATCAGACTAGATGCCCAAGTGTGTTATTGGGCAATGCCCCCCCCCACCCCCCCACCACCCCGGAATACTCAAATGGTGAAAAACAGTTTGCACGTTTCCAAGGATAATCTTCAAACATGTTTAAAGTGTTTCGAAACAAATCTATGATTTTACTTTACAAGGTCTACAAATAATGATGGATCCACAGTTCAATTGCTGCTTCTGCCATCGAACAGAAGAGCATTTTGTTGTTCTGCCTGTCACTACATATCACTGGCATTGATAGCTGAACCATGATTTCATTCTCATATTGAAATAAAATGTTTGCATCGTAAAAATATCATCATTATTTTACTTAAGATGATTGGGTGCACCATTTGTCTGGATGAAATGCTGCCAATCTGTGGCCATCCCACAGTGGGAGGAGCAGGCACAGATTAAATGCAGTACTGTGGTGAAAAAATCCTGCAAAGGAGAAGCACTTAAAGTGTCAGTGTGAAATGAAGAAGTGAGCAGTGGACACCGATATTCGCATCAGCTCCTCCACTTTGATCTTGACCCACTCTGACATACCGGAGCCACTTTTCCATTCGGCTGAGCCTCAGGGTGCCTCAACTTTCTTTGTGCTCACTCAATACCAGTGGTGGGGAAATAAAAATACTTAAAATATTATCAACAGTATACAGTTGATACTTTACTTGAGTTTTTATTCTCATGACTTTTGACATTGAGAAAATGTCAGTATAGCACGTGAGTGCTTTTCTAGCTCTTCTCCATACCTTGTGACACGTCATCTCACTTAGGTGGAGCAGAGCGTTCCAAGGCTCGGAGGCGGCAGAGAGCGGGCGCCCACTGACAACAACCATCCGCAGCGCGACAAGAAAACCCCACCGGTGCCCCCGCCTCTCCCACTGGCTCACCCTTTTGGACTCGCCCCCAGCTCGGTCATGCAGGACCCTCGAATGCAGAGTCTCAGGTATGGATTCAAGAAGCATAATGATGATGATAATTTTGTATTTATACCTACAGTGTATTTATAACGTTAATTGTTATTGTAAGTTAGTATTTCAAATGAAGCGAACTACTTTTAAACAAAAATAATTTGCGTAAAAGTAGCAATAAAAGTAATATTCTATTTTTTTTAATATATAGTATAATGCATATAAAATGTCAACACACCCTTGTAGTCATGCCTGGGTTTTTGTGACATATGACAAATGAAAGCAAGATGAATCACTTCAAAATCTTTTCCAGCGTTCATGTGATCACTAACCTGTAACACTCAAATGAAACGAAGTAGCATAATTTGCATAGGGATGTCTTCTTAATCAACCAATCACACTGACACACAGCTGTGACCATTTTAAGTGCCTCTGATTAAACCCAAATAAAGTTCAGCTGTCCCTGTAGGCTTAAATGATTTATTTTTTTTAAAGTCATATTTTTAAAAAATTAATTAAGATAATTAAATATATAATATAATAAATTTTACTATTAAATAAATTTCATTACACTGTATTTTGTCATTTTATATATATATACATATATATATATATAATTTTTTTTTCAGTGTTATCATCAGCTGATTTGCTAGGAGAAGTGGCAGATTTTGTCCATTTTAAACACTCAAGCCACCAAATACGGTTACTTGCCATTTAATAATACTAATAAAAATAATAATAAAACTAATTTGTACATGTAAAATTAAATAAATGTAAATAATAAATATGATTAAAAAATATGTTTTATGACAAACAAAATGTAAAGAAATTACAGTACAGCATACAATATAGCATTTGTATGAAATTGTGCATGTGTTGTGCAGTTTACCTGGGCAGATGCACCCTGCGGTTCCCTCAGGCACCATCCCGGAGGAGTACCTGAGAGCGCTGCGTCCCTTCGCCACCCCCGACGACTTGCGGCTGACCTCTGTGCCTCTTGGTCTGGACCCCTCCGCCGCCGCCGCCGCTCATGCTGCTGCCGCTGCCGCTGCTTACTACCACCCGGCCTTCCTGCACCATCCTTTGTCTTTACCCAGGTACACTTCAGTTTCCAGAAAATGAATCTAAGTCAGTTCCTCTGATGGTGGAAAGACCAGCAGAGATGGCCTTAATGGCATTTTACGACATTTTTATTCGTTTGATTTCTAGAATGGAGGAGTCCTTGTGTCTGTCGGGGTTACGGTCGCAGTTCTACTCCATGCCTCCCGGGGGAGCCTTTCCTCCTCTGCACCCCTCTGGCCTCCACTTGCACCTGCCTGGAGCCCGCTACTCTGCAGAGCTAAACCACAGCCTACTTGCTGAGAGGTAAGCAATGTATGCGCTTTGCTTTCCTCACTTTTTGCCCAACCATGTTAACTTTCCCTGCAGCGTGGACACATATAGTTGAGATATTTTTAGTACATGCCTAACCGCGCTTCCGACATCGCATGAATGCACTGGCTGCCCTTCATAGCACGTTTGGCTCACAGTACAAAGGTCATGGGTTTGATTCCGGGTCCGAGCCTTCCTGTGTGGAGTTTGCATGTTCTCCCTCTGCCAGTGTGGGTGTTCCCTGGGTACTCCGGTTTCCACCCACATTCCAAAAACAAGCGTGGCAGGCTGATTGAACACTATAATTGTCCCTAGGTGTGATTGGGAGTGTGAATGTTTGTCTATGTGTGCCCTGTGATTGGCTGGCAACCAGTTCAGGGTGTACTGCCCTAAGACAGCTGGGATAGGCTCCAGTACGCCCGCGACCCTTGTGAAGGTAAGCATCTCAAATAATGGAAGGATGGATGGATAATACTAATACAGTATATACATGTAAACTAGTAAGAAAGTAAGACAATGCATATAATCATAAGTCAAGTGGTTATTTAGTTTTTAAAAAGTACAGTACATACACAATTGTTTCATTTTTTTAAAGATATTTTTCAAATATTTTATTATGTGAAATAAAAACAAATTTGTCACGTGAGGAGCGAAATTAGGACCCAGAAGCAGACATGACACGGAAGCTGAAATGTAAAAGTCTTTATCTACGAAAATACAAAGTAACTCCAGAGATCAGGGCTGGATGCAGAAGACATGGAAGAGAGATGACACTCTGACTGGGAGAAAGCTCGACCGACTGACAACATATCACTGAGTAATCCAAGTTTATATATTGGAAGACATCAGGCCGACATGACATAATAAAGGTAACATAATAAAGGCCCACAGCAACTGCATAGCAACTGCATAACAATTGATTCATCAAGAAACAACCAGTCACAACATAATTCATGAAAATTATATTTTAAAAGAATGAACATCTGCATTTTAAACTAATGCTAATGCTCAGTGGGCACCTCTGTTCTCCAGTAAATGCTCCCTTTCCTAAAACAACACTGCTTGTCTGCAGCACAATACACCGGGGACATCTTTAAACACAACACTGTTCATCATCTGCTTCTGTAATGGCTTGTGCATATATTGTAATGTGTATGCGAGTGTGCGTGCGCTTTTCCTGTGGTTTCCCATTAAGCGTTCATCTGTTCTTGCTCAGTCATGCTGTGTATGGATTATTTCCCTCATAGTAAGCGAAGTATGCGTGTGTTTTTGTGTGTGTGTGTGAATGTTTGTGTGAGGTTCACCAGTGTGTGGTTAATATCTGCCTCATGCTGGGTGTTGCATCTCTCACCCCCCCCTCCTCCTCTCCCATGTGTTTATGCGTGCGTGTGTGCGTGCATGCGTGCGCGCACGCGCGTGTGTGTGTGTGTGTGTGTGTGTGTGTGTGTGTGTGTGTGTGTGTGCGCGCGCGCGCACACGCGTGTCTTCATACTTGTCAACCTCCCCCACAGGATGCAGATGGAGAATGAGCTTCGCCAGCGAGAGAGGGAGAAAGAGAGGGAGGAGGAGAGGGAGCGAGAGCTGGACAGACAGAAGGAGAGGCAGAGGGACAGACAGCAGCAGATGGTCAGGGCGGCTGAGGGCCACCGATACCTGGCCGACAGGCCGCCTCAGAGGGCGTCTTCACTGGAGGACCGGGCCAGGCTAGGGGAGAGACTGACCCCCAACAGGCTGGGTACCCACACACACACACACACACACACACACACACACACACACACCTATTTACATTAATTTCACAGTGTGCGTGTGCGTGCGTGTGTGTGTGTGGGTGTATACACATATACAGTATATATATATATCTATATATATATATATATATATATATATATATATATAGATATAGATATATATATATAGATATATATATAATGAGAGGTATCACAGTACAAACTACAACCACAATAAAATGCACAATGCTCAATTAAACCTGCTGTAAGCGTATTATCTTTAGCGTTACTATCTTGCACCAAATCTCTTGTAACTTTCGTGACTTTCTTCTCAAATGTCCGTCCAGATCAAGCGAAGGAGTCAGAGCTCCCGGCTTTCCATGCACAAAAACCTCTGCCCTTGAACCTCCACTCCTCTCGGGGCTCCATCCCACACCCGGTGCCTAGTCTGGTGCCTTCTCACCCAGCCAAGCACCACACTGCGCCTGCGGCGGGTGGCGTCCACGGAGCTGTGGCATCTGCCGCCATGAATGTGAGGGCCACTGAGGAGGCCTGGACAAAAGACAGCAATAGGTGAGAATTATACCGGACAGGATTGTGTTTTGTGGAGAAAATACCACTTGAGCCCTGAGCGCCTGTGATGAAATTTTCAGTCGACAGCAAATGGCAAAATGACATCACAGTTGCTCCATGCTCAGGTACCAACCAATCACTACTCACCTGTTTTCTGGATTTGGTCACGTGACATTCACAAGCTGAGCTGATTAAAAACCTTCTAGATTGTTATTTAAAATCATGTCATTGATAATATAAGTTTTGTTTGAAAGAGAGTGCAGGTTCAGCACGGCCAGATTAATGTTTGTGCTTGACGTGCGGTCATGGTTGCAGGAATGGGGGGGGGGGGCATCTACTTCTGATGGTTTCAGTGGGGAAACTGTCTGGTGCAGTGGTTTTGGGAAAAGTAGAAACAGGGCCAGTCGCTGACTAATTTGTAAACAAGAGTCACCTGGGAGTAAAATTGATGACTCCATGGTGGATGTTGGTCGCGAATATCAAACTGCCCAGACAGTTTGGATGAACGCCATCTGACTGGTAAAAGGAATGAGAATTCCAAAATAGGTTAAAATTGTCAATAAAAGACAAATCGAGATTATCATTACCAAGATTAATCTCGGATTATATGTTGTAATATTCATGAATTAAGAGTTAGTTTCTGCAATAGGTGGATTTTTTTTTTTCCTGAAACGTCGTAGCAGTAGCTATTACAATGCATGTAATGCCTCGGAAATTATTTTACACAATTCTCCTGACTAAAACAATGCAATCACAATGGAAGCTTTCTGCAGACCGTGGCTTGTGCTGTATAATGTCATGAAAAGCCAGCTAGAATTTTGGGATAATCAATGGCTTTTTAAATCGTGGTCGGTGTGTGCTGTCGTTTAGCATGCTTTTGAATGCATTTGGTTAATTCTGAACATAGCCACATCCTCAATAAGATGAGGGTGTGCAACCTCACTCTCCCAGGTGTTTATTAGTAATCAAAAATATTCCCTTTTTTTCGTATTGTTTTGTACAAGTTATAGGCCACAAGTATGATGAAAAAGTTATGAAAGGAATTATTTTGGTGTCATTTTTTTATCACAAAAACCTGCCATTTGATCAAGGGTGTGTAGATTTTTCCTATCCACCATAAGTCAAGGTACCATTGTTTTAGAATTCAGACTGTAAATGTAGATGAGTGCTTCTTATAGCGTTTAGGCCAGCAGCTCAGCACTGGTCTAAACAGGTTGGTTGTCCTTCTGTGTATCCAAACAGAACAGGCCATCCTAACCAAGGCATCAAAGATGCACCACCTTCCCTCGGCGCACCACCTCCCCTCATCTCCCCTAAAGCCCCGCAAACCACATTGTGGAACCCCGCCTCTTTTGTGGACCGCCGAAAGTCCACCCCACCAATTCGTCCCCCTCCCGGCCTGACCAGGGCCGACCGACCCCACCTGAGCTGGGGGGAGATGTTGCAGGATGGAGCCCGGAGGAGACCAGAGGCTCCTGAAAGGTATCCCTCGGCGAGAGAGGAGGCCGGCTTGTCCAACAAGGCCGAACATGACCTCCTCGTCCTCCAGAGGCGCCACACCAACAACCTCCACCTTAGGCTGTGCGCACCCCTGTCAGACCCCAATGCCGGCAGGGAGCGGCAGAGGGACAGTGCGCTGGTGTATGACGAGGCACTTCAGCAACATCGCCGACTCCTCAGTAAGCTGGACCTGGAGGAGCAGAGGAGGAGGGAAGCCCGTGAAGGAGGTGAGAATAACGGAGGCAAAGACCTGTAGATAGGTTTAACAAACACCTGAGCATCTCCTCCTTGTCTGTAGGTTATTACTACGACTTAAACGAGTCGTACGACGAGAGCGACGAAGAAGAAGTCAAAGCCCATCTGAGGAGAGTGACGGAACAACCACCCCTTAAACTCAATACGTCCTCTGAGGTAGGAGACTTCATTCTAAATACCATCCCGAGCATCATATAAAAGGCCCGTTGTCTGGAACTAATCTCAGTCTAAGAGTTAACCAGGACTCAAATCTTTGAGGTGAAGCTTTTAAAATAAAGTCAGTCAAGTTCGAGTCGAATTTCTTTTCACAACTTTGAGATGAGCTCACGTGCTTTTATGTCGACCATTTCAAACCAGTGATTTACAACCAGTGCACACAAGTGTGCTGTGAGAAATCATCTGGTGCATTTTAATGGTAAATTAATTTCAAGATGAAAAAATGATTTTAAATCACTGGTGGTTCTTAACCTCTAAGGTTAAGAACCACCAGTTAATATGCACATTCACCGAACCCTTCATGAGTGAAAAATAAATATACATATTTTTTTACAAATTCAAGATATAAAAAAAACGCATTTATTAAAAACAGAAAGAAGTCAATAAAATTTCATGAGATAAGTATACTTTTTTTTTTTTAATTGTACGACATACTATCACGACAGTCACACGTTGACTACTAAGCGAACTAAATTTCCCACAGCACTGATTGGACAAACAATGTCATGTGATCATCTGCAGCCAGTGATGGCCAAGCGGGCGTAATTAACATGTTGAGTTGGGTGTGTCTTACCTTCCATGGCAGAGGCTTCGTCGAACCCCTGAGACCGAACCCAGGTTAAGAACCACTGTTTTAAACAAATAATTTGTGGTAAGAGCTTGGTCAAGGAATGAATTAAACTCTTAAGTAAACGTTCCAATAAAAAGCACATTGAATTAACTTTTTTTTTTTTTTTTGTTTGTTAAATAAAAACTGAGCGTTATACTTTACCTCATTAGCTTGTACAGGTGTGCCTAATCTGAAAGTAATCTGAGTAACAAGTTTGATCAAGTCAAGGCATCACTGCATTTAAAGGTTTATATTGAGTCACTGACACGCTTCTGTTCTTGTTCGACCCACACTGAAGAAAGTGGACTTCCTGCGCACGTGTGGCCTGGTTACACTGGCTCATCGCAATGAGCTTCTGCAGCGCAAGAGGAGAAAGAGGAGGCGGATGATGAGGGAGCGCAGCACCTCGCCACCTTGCACCATGCGGGTGAAACGGAAGTCTCCCACCTTGCCGGCCGCCGCGCTGACGACGCCGTACACCGCCGAACAGATGGACGGCGCCCCCGAGCTGCAGGAAAAGAAGGACTTCCTGCGCGCCTTCAACCTCTCCCACGTCAGCGCTCGGCAACGAAGAGGTATGAGCATTACTTTCAATTGTCTCTTTCAAACTCAAGGTTCATAAAAGATGCACAGTTTAAATCAAGAAAATAAGTATCATCAAGATAGGGAACAAAAATAAAAAACCTCTTCAAGAAATATACCGTGAACCAGAGTACCGTAATAAAAATCCACAAATTATTAAAAATACAGATGCGTGTAAAAGCTTCCAAAAACTCAACGCTGACTGATTCCAACTGAGCAAAAATGCCAACTCAGCACTTTGTTGCTACATTTAGCTACTTTTACATTTTGTTTGAAAATGGTAAAATGCATGTTATTTCCCTCTCAACACCACAAATTCTCTCATAAAAATATCACCTGTAGCAGTTCAGAATCAATATTTATCTAATAACATGAGCAACATATTAAAAAAGAGACCCTGACGAGATGTCTTTTGCCAGTCAAACTTTGCTTGCTCTGACCAGCCAATGAGAGCCAAAGCTGTCTCACTCGATTGACATGTTGTGTTGTACGTTAGACAAAGAGAAGACTGAGGAGCTGCTGAGGGCCATTGAGAAGAAGATTGTGACATTGGACACACTCCGATACAACTCTGTACCTCCGTGTAGCAGCAGCCCCCCTGCCGCCCCCTCCTCACTCGGTGAGACCCATTGTTCAGATGCACTCTTTTTATAAGTGCCACCGAAATTTTGAATATGTTCAAAATTCCTTTGCGACAAGAAAAGTACAACCGAACATCTGGCGACTGTTTGGTGAATATTTGCGACCTTGAACGAACCCTGACGAGATACAAGATTCGTTACCTTCGCAAAGGCTCACAAATGGTGGCCACTCAGTGGGTTAGGGGCAGAAAGGATATGCATGGCTGACAAAACACTGACATACTAATGCAGCACGTCAACTTTTGGAAAAGTTTTCCTTTTTAGTTTAGAATGACTTGTGGCAGAACCACGCTGGGTTCTTTGGCTTTTGGAAATGTTCGAAATCAATCCGTGTTAAAAAGTAAAACAAAAACCAAAAAAAAAAAAAAACGAGATTGGCATTTGTGGCCTAATGTCATGATGACTGGTTCGCACATATTCAAAATTGTCCAACTTGTCTTCACAGGTGAGTCCTCATCAACCCCGCCTTCCTGTCAGTCAAATGGACAAATTCATCCCAACTCGCCGAGCCCCTCCCCTCCATATTTACACAAAGCGAGACATGCCCCCCACGACGACGCTCTCAGGCAGCCGCCTCTACCCTTGGCACCCCACCGTGACAAAGTGGCATTCGCAGAGGCGCCGCGAATCAACAAGAAGCTGCAGCCAGTCCACAACGGTCACCTCGTAGCTCCTCTGAAAAAAGAGCACGGCGTAGGAGTGAATGGTCGGGTCCGGCCTTGGGAGAGGTTCACACCCGATGCCTTCGCTCAGCACTTCCACCAGGCTGTGCTAAAGTCCACACACCACAAAGGTTACACGCTGCTACCATTACTAATGAATCTAAATGTGTGCTATTTAGTGGCAGCGATGCCCATGTATAAAAGAGACCCTAGTAACAGTCAGAGTATTGATTCAACTCTTCTATTTAGGTGAAAGTATGTCCACATAAATAAATAAATAGATCAGATTCTGAAGTGTGCTTCAGTCCGAAAATGTTATGTTACAAATGCAAATAAATCTGGCTATGTTACTGATTTAAATGTAAACAGTCTAGTAAAAATTTGTAATCTGTAATCAAATGCTTGTTTGAATTATTCTTTTTTTTTTTTGTATACCTGGTCAGGAGCTAAAATATCAAGTTATGTTTCATTTGGATCTGAGCCACAATGCATACCTCACACTCGTTAGGGACTTTAATCCAGGTTTGAGAGATTGTGACACAAAAAAAGTGTAACTGTATTCTGTTAGTTACAGAAAAAAATATTAAATTGGATATAAAATACAAGTTTACTAGGAATTGAGATGACCGGTAGTGTATTTTTTAGGATTAGATTTTTGAAATGGGGATGAGACAGTTATTGATTTGGGCTTTCAGAACGCTTTCAAGGGATTGGGAGGAGCAACGTTGTTCAGAGTTATCTTTGTTTGAAGCCTGACATCGAGTGCTACTCTCTCCTCACCAGGGGTCTCAAATCTGACGAAGGCTGACAGTTCTGTGCCTCGCGAACTCTCTCCGCACAAAACACCTCATCTGAACCACGCCGTTCACCACGTCAACGGCCATCGCACCCATTCCCCTCGAGTCGGTCAGGGGGAGCAACTGACCGATGCGGACGTGGACGAGGGTGAAGACTCATCTGGGGACGAGGAGGAGGACGACGATGAGGAACCACCAAGAAAGTGGAAGGGCATCGAAGCAATTTTCGAGGCCTATCAGGATTATGTGGATGGTGAGTTCAACATTGGGGATTCACCTCGGGAGAAAGAAATTTGCTACCTCTATGCTTGGTAGAAACGAATGTAATATGAATCTGATCCTGATCGCGTATATGACAGCAATTAATATTAAATACAACATGGAACGTTTTTCACACGTACATCTGTTAAATCTTTTTACAAGTAATAGAAATTTGTGTTTTTCATTTTAATCTGGATCTGATCCACCTTGCATATTGTAATTCATACTTGTATTCAATATTTTTAGACCGTTATATCTAACACACTTGAAGTTGTCACATTTGCACGTGTGCAGGGGTTCAGAAGAGAATCTGCCAAACCATGGTTAATCCAGATCTGAACCATCTCGCATTCTTTCATTCAAAATTTTTAGACTGTTATATCAAATTTGATTTATTCTGGATCGACTCCATATTTTTGCTGCATATTTGACAGCAATATATATTAAGCATGGGAAATACTTTTCAAACATAAATGAACTGAAACCTCAAATTTCAGCTTGATCATTTGTTAGCAACTCAAATGTTGAAAAATGACATTTCTCCTTTTTTGACTTTTAAATCTACTACATTTGAGGCGATGCTTGGATTTTAGGGGTATAACAAGCCTTTTTTCCTTACAGAGCGGAGTGTTGAGAGGCAGGTTCTTCACAGTCAGTGCAAAAGACTCGAAGCGCAGAATTACAATCTCAGCAGAACCGCAGAGCAGCTCTCTCTCACCATGGCGGTAGGCACCAACACTCTTTTCTTTGCTTCATTCAATCATTTTTCACGCCTCAACGGGCCCTAATCATTGATTAATTATTGATCATTTTGAACCTACTATAAACTCATTAGTGCATACATTGCAGCTCTGGCAGGGTTGTTTACATAATCCTATTGACAGCCCGACATCTCTTTCTTTGTATATGTTTTTAAGATCAAAAGATAGCACATTCAACTACAAGAGCACACTGGAGTTGATTTAAATAATTTAAATGATGAAATTCCATTTGGGGTGCTGAATAGCATCCACTCTTATTAAAAATAACATTATGCATATAGTGTATATGTATCATCTGCTTTATTATTTTTTATTTCAGGTCCTGCAACAGCAATGTGCAAAAATGATTTGCAATAAAGTACAACACCACATTAAATGACTTCAGGTACATAAAAATGACTGCAAATCAGAGTAGAAAATAAAATCAAAACGCATTTAACAGTTTCACTCGTTCCATGACTGCCCTCGTAACTCAAACCACTCTCAAATCCTCTTCCCCCATTTAAATGAATACAAATTATTTAGTTCCAGCCCCATATTGTGCTCCTTTTGGCGTGTTCGCCATGGCCTCCCCGATGGCAGTATAATACAGACACTTAAAAGAAGCAACAAGTTGCTGTAATATTACGGGAGTTCTTTTTCAAAGATCAAGAATATATGTTTCTCAAATAGTCGTTGCTTCATGGGTTGGTTACAATACCGCGCCTGCATTAGGATAATGTCATTGGATGCCGTTTGCCCATCTACTGTCTTGCTTTGATTTGCATTGTGTTAGCATGAACATAGAGGCTTTTTCAAAGGTGGTTATGTGATTCTTTTATAGACACGATGTGTAACTCTCACTTTTATATTTGGTGTGACAGTAAACTTCAACTTGGAGTTGCAATCATTGTCTTGTCGGCTTTTTCCGCAGCTCAAATTTTTGCTCGCGAGTCAAACTTTAAATTGGATGGATTGACTTGAGGGTCAAGGTACTACTGTACCTGAAACGAAATTGAATAATTTTGTTTTAAACTGTGTAAAATGTGTGAAAGCTTTATTTAATAAAGCACATTCAAAATAAACTACCTCAACCTTTTTGCATTACTCTCGTCTTTCTCAATAGCCCAGTCTCAGTTGATTGTTAATTGCTCTTGGGAGCCCCCTAGGGGTCAAGGGACCCTAAGCAAGTGCTTCGTTGGCTTGTTTTTCAATCCAAACACGTCTCTTCCAGGAGCTTGTGAGCCAGAGGCAGAGGGTACGAGAGGAGCGTGAGAGACTGCACGCTCAGCTGGAGCACTTCAGGAGGTGTCTGACGCTACCCAGCATGCACTGGGGCAGAGGTGGGCACCTCAACACCCACACGCCCAGGTGACCTCAGGGCGCTGTGTGTCCAAAGACAACTGGCTTTGCACTTAAGAGAACTTAAAGGAAGTCAATCCTCGGCCCCATACTCAAAATTCGACACACCTGTTCTCATGGTTGCCATCATCCTGCCGTCCCGCACTTCCTTTTTATTCAGTCTATCCAAGGGATTGGAGATTTGTCAGCGATTTGGAGACTTTGCATCCTGTATCTTTGCCAGTGTTCCCCAAACTTTATTAAGCCAAGGTACGTTTTACAGTCCAATTAAAAACAACAACAAAATTTCATGGCACATCACCAAACACATCACAAAAAGTATATATATTAAAATAATGACTTTGTATGAATTATAACAGGTGGAGACAGTTAATTGTATCATCTGCCATCTAGTGGAAGACCCTTTCATTGTTTATCACCCCAACATTACCCTTACAAATAAATTGCTTACAGGTTATTTGACTTTGGGGGGGCGGGGTGGGGGCACCTAAAGTGTGCACAAATGTGGACATGCACATGTGGTTAAGATGCTCCTAACTTGCATGGGCATCCCAGGCTAAACTTAGCTCTTCTCCAATGCACAAAGCTTGTCTCTCCATCAAGTGCATCACTCAACAAACTGTACTTCCACCAGTTACTATTTTGACCTTATTGCACCTTGTAGCAATATAGAAATAAAACCAAACCAAACAGTGAAAAAAAGATCCTTTGGCTTTCGGTTGCACATAATTAAAATGTGGTAAGCCTATGTAATTTTTCTGTTTTCAAAAATAAGCAAATGATGAGTATGAGTTTAACACGATGGCGGCACGGTAGCCAACTGGTTAGCACGTCAGCCTCACAGTGCAGAGGTGCAGGGTTCGATTCCAGCTCCGGCCTTCCTATGTGGGGTTTGCATATTCTCCCCGTGCCTGCGTGGGTTTTCTCCGGGTACTCCAGCTTTCTCCCACATTCCAAAAACATACACGGTGGTTGACTGGGGACTCCAAATTGTCCCTCAGTGTGATTGTGAACGCGAATGGTTGTTAGTCTCTGTGTGGCCTGCGATTAGCTGGCAACCAATTCAGGGTGTACCTCGCCTACTGCCCAAAGACTGCTGGGATAGGCTGCAGCACGCCCGCAATAAGCGGCTTGCATAATGGATGGTTGACATTTTAATCCTGCAACCGAAAATCAAGTTGTTTTTTTTTTCCAGTGCAGGTGCGTTCTGCAGTGAATAAATGATAGGTCCCCAAACCCCCCCCCCCCCACCCCAAATAAAAACGCTGGATTAGGGAATTCATCAATACAAAACCTCAAATAGGCAGGGGATTACTGGATTTGCAGTGATCAATTCATCTTTTCAGTGATCAATTATGTGAGATTTCCCACAGCACACTGGTGGTTAAGAATCACAGATGCAACCCATAATCAATTCATTCATTCAACACACATGACCAGGCTGAATGGTCAAAGCTCACCTCAGGCCTTAAAACGTGAATGGAATGCACTTAAACATAACATTGGTGTAAAATCCCTCACAAAACAGGAAACAAGGAATGATGAACTTGGGGTTTTATTGGCGCTTCTTAGATTTTACACTGGTACTTGTGATAGATGAAGATTTTTTTGGGTGAAGTTTTTGTGATTTAATTCACAAGAAAAAAAAGACAGAGAAGCCATATGCTGTGTTTAAAAATGCTGCTGGTCAGGAAAAAAAAAAGAAAATGAAGGATGTTATAGGATAAATGTATTCATTGTTGGGAGGCTGGGTGTCATGACAACCACATGATCACAGACTCGAGATACTACCTTTACACGCCAACACATGTGGATAGAACTTGAAGAAACATCCATAGTGTTAGCGTCAGACAACTTTTTCGTCCAAACTTTCAATTGTTTTCACCTAAAAATGTATAGTATAATCCCTTTCATTTGAATCCCTTTAATTTGAAATTATGTACGATCACAGATGGATAATGTCAACAAAACATGAAATCCTGCTCATTTGTTTGAATCAGCTGTTAAAGTATTTTTTGGGATGATAGGACTGTAAATTTGCAGTGAATTATTTATTAACGTATTGATGTACATGGAAATTTGCATTAAAATGTTGCTTCATGATTGCATTTACTGTTGCACTTTAATTATTTCTAGAATCTCCTGACATTTATGAATACATAAAAACTATAAATAGTTCATTTAGTCATTATTCATTATTGTTTTCTGTTACCTGTTTAATATTCCTGAGTGGAGTTTGAATAGTATGTAATTATAATACCCTCAAATGATTGCTTTCCCCCTGCTAATAGTCTTGCATCAAGGTCGTCACGCTTTGAAGGAAGAAGCAAACCTGACTCAACAAAGTTCCATCTCAATAATTATTGTGAAGCTAGAGCTGCTTGAGTGAATTTGGGGGCACGTAGAGCACATATTTGCATTCGAAAAAAATCTGGCTGCCAATTTGACTCGAAGAGCTGTCAGTTGTTCTGTGTGTCACTATATAGCACTGATTTAAATAGAGGAACAAAGATTCATCATTTCAGGTAAAAATCAAATAAATCATTTTAATACCAATTAAGTAAATGTGGATAATTTCCCACAGAACACTGGTAGGGAATATCTGATGCAGTGGATTACATGGACACAAAAATCTGCAGCTACAAGAGATGACTTGCTCCTCCACTCATTCGTACTGCACATGAATATAATCCACCAACATGTGACCAATCGGTCTGCCTCTCATGCACGTGCATACCGCTCAAATCTCTGGACCAGTATAAGAAGATAGGAATTCTCTGCAAAGGGAAACAATATTTTTAAAATGCCTTCACAATGGATACAACATACTCCTCATACGACTTGAAGCAAAGTAGTTGAATCAGTACTCCTACTTTTCCCAATCTTTTTTTTTTTTACACAAGTATCTATACTTCTTAAGTACAGCATGTGAGTATTTATGCCACCTCTGTTTTACCTGGTGCAACCATAATTTCTTGATTCTTTGTGCTGATGCGCAGCACGATGAGATCATCTTGAGGGTCCACATCCCTCACCGTGCTCCTGGCCATGGCGGTGAGGTGGCGAAGAACATCCGCGTACTTGCCAGCCTTGGAGCTGTCGAACGTCGATCGGATAGGAATACCTCGGAATTTAAACAAAATATTCATTCATCCATCCATTCTCCACCACACTTGTCCTCATGAGTGTTGCAGGTTAGCTGGAGCCAAAGCGAAATTAGAGCCTTTAACCTAACATGAATGCTTTTGGAAGGAAGATGGAATACCCAAAGAAAACCCCCAAAAAAGCAAGGTAGAGAACTTCCAGACACCACACAGGAGGGCCTGAGTCGAGATTCCAACCCTAGATCTCAGAAATGTGAGGCGTATGTGCTAGCCACTAAACCCCTCTGTGTTACCCAAAATAAAAATATGTAAACAGTAACAGTACAATTTTGTTGTTTGAATATCTGTGTGTGCGTGTTTTGTTTTACCGTCTGCATTGGCCACAATAGTTCCTGCGACACTACCATGGGCTTCGATTCTCTGCAAAGTTTCCTCAACTTCAGCCTGTAAGAGCGATTAAAAAAAAACAATAAACAGAAAATGAAACTTTTCAATAAACACTCTGAGAACAGGGGTACAACTCTAATGAATAATCAGTCATAATAATTAAATTATAAAATACTGCTCGATAGATAATAAACAAAAAAATAAATAATACCATCTTAGTGGACGAGACACTGCCTCACCACCTGGAAGAAAATGTTCGTTAATGCTCAGCACCGCCCCTCTTTAAAACGGTAAGTGATTTGTTGTCTTCATGACATCGATTAATGATCATTGCGCGTTATTAATGTGACGTTGTACGTAACGTTTGCTTACGATATTTTTCTGTTACAATAGCTTGAATTGGAGCATGCTAACCGCCGTGCTACGTAACGGCCATGTTTGTAGGGGCGACTTCCCATCAAAGGCGAGGCATAAACCTGGAAAATAATTAGTAACTTCCACATTTCCGAATCGATTTGTATGAGGTGCACTTTTCTACGAATGACAAAACGCGTGCTCTATCAAAAAAGAACGTTTGCGCAGCGGGGTGGTGGTGGGAGGCTAGACAAAAAAGTTGTTTTTTTTACCCGTGAATTGTTATCCCTGCTCCCTTTTCCAAATTGTAGGGTGTTGTGTGCAAGCAAGTACACGACAATGTGGCGGCATCCTTGCGCTTTCGTTTTTCTTACCAACAATGTGATGGCAAGAAAAACAAAAGAATAGTTAGAAAAGGTCAAGTTCATTGTTTTTGGCCTGTCACAGATCTCTTTTTTTTTTAATAAAAAAAGCGGTTAGTTTTACCTTTAAATTTAAAATGTTGTAAAATTGCCCAGGTGTCTGAAATGGTATCATAACATCATGTCTGCTGTTTATAACAAACCCATTAGTGTCACAATTGGTGAAGAATTGGATGAGTTATGATGAATTTATTGGAACGAAACACAGTTACCTCAATACAAGCAAATGGAAGAGCTCACCCTGGACCCCGGTTCAAGATGGCGGCTATGTAACCCGGGGGCACCACATTGCTACTTACTCAAAAGTATTAGTAGGTACAGTGCTCTATGTCAGAGCATTAGTTATGACTTTTGACCAAATCGGACCTCAGCTTAACATTCAAGAAGTTGTCCGTTTTTTTTTTTTATCATTCATCATCCGCAGCTATGTCCACTCGACATCTGAGCTTAGGTCACTAACCTAGGTTTGACACAAGAAAACATTTTAGAATGCTGTATTTTCCCAGTATACATATATATATATATATATATATATATATATAATATATAGTACACACACACTTTCTTTGCCATCTCCGATCACAGTAAAGCAGTAAAGCAAATATTCAAACTGTCCCTTTTACTGGACAAATTCCACCCGGGTAGCATCTGGTCTGCAGACCTGCGGCACCAGACAGGGTGAAGGGGTGGAGCAAAAGATGGGATGAGACCATTTAAAGATTTGAAAAAAAAATCTTAAAATGAACTGATATTTAAAGATTCAGTTTTAAATCCTGACTTTTTTAGAATCATTCAGTTTCAGGTAGTTGTCCCGCTGCTTAACCCAAGAAGACTTGAGGATAAAAGCACAAACTGAAGGCTGGATGTTCACCTGCAGGATTTTCTGGTGGACAGCACAATTAAATTTTCCAGTGATTACAGTGATTCACCGACAGAGTAAATTAGCAAAGCAGAGCCATGCCATCACACTGGCACCACAATGTTTGACTGTAGGCAGGATTTTCTTTTCATCAAATGCTGTGTTATTCATAGGGTATAATGCTTCAGGCCATAAACAAATTCAGTCTTTCTTCTTGCAGTCTACAGATTATTTTGTTAAAAAAATAGGATCGTTCTTGGCAAAATGTCAGCTGAGCTTTTGTGTTCTTTTTTGAAGTGTTGTACGGTACATTTACAAAAAAAAAAATCAGTCAATACTTTTTCCCAGCACTGTGCATGCAGAAGCACAACTTCATAACCCCTTTGTTTTCAGTCACATATCATGACCATTTATAATCCAAAAAACATCACTTTATATTTTCAAACTACAGTATCAATTTTCCATCCATCTATCCATTTTCTAATCCGTTTATCCTCACAAGGGTCGCGGGCATGCTGGAGCCCATCCCAGCTGTCTTTCAGCAGTAGGCGGGTTACACCCTGAGCTGGTTGCCAGGCAATCGTAGGAATCACATTTTGTTGGGGCAAATACACTTTACCAGAAATCCGGCAGCCATAGCTATGACTGAACTCTGAACGGCAAAAAGGCCACTACATTTGTCAACTAAGTGAGTGCTAACAATCTCGACTAAGGTGGGCGCTTTCAGACAGTTGCTGCGGAATAAAAACATCCTTCCTTAACCTCAAAAGACCACGTCTACGTTTTTCTATGTCGTAAGAAGAAAGGTCAATGTGCAACTTGCTTGCGCAAAACCACTTGCCTAGCCACAAGGCACCAGATAAACAGTAGTGTACAGTTTACACTCACTGTCGGCCTTTGATGACGTTTTAAGTGGGACTTTCCGCATACGTCATTCGGTGCTTCCGACTTCTAAGCTAACCCGACCGTGGTGTTCTTTATATTAGACGTTATAAATCTCGCTCTGTCGCCGCGTATTACTTATCGAGCATACCATGTAGACGCCAGAGGGTCCCAGCAACGCCGACAAGTTGGACTCTTAACACGTGCTTGTCCGAGGTGACGCTAACAGCGAGAGACGCTATGTCAACAACGCGGCCCCTTCTCGGTATGAAGCGAGTCACCGAGCTCGCGTGCGTCGAGCAGCCGACCAGCAGGCTCTGCGCTTCGGCCGCGAGGCAGCAGCAAGACACCCCGACGGTGGATGAGTTTACTGTCCCGGAGAATAAGCAAGACGAGCTGAAATGTGCCCAGGCTCGCGTGGAGTACGTTTTCAAAGTGACGTTCACTATTATCGGGCTGTTGGACCACACGGGACAAGCACACGGTAGCACGGCTTCGCGTCAGATATGGCTCCAGCTCAGAGGAAACACTGACGACGTTTCGAAAGCAAAGGTGAGGTCTTTATTTCTATGCCCCTAATAAACCAGCGGGGCCGATGTGACCGTGGTGTAAACGTGTGCCTTCAGGTGGTTTGAACAGGTGGGTCGAGTCCGAACTGGCCGATAGTATCTGGAGCTCTGTTAATCGTACCTGAAAATGACTATGTATAGCTCACATAGTGTAAGAGGAGACGCTACTTAGTTCTACCTTAGCTGATTAGCTGATATCAATTGTCATGTCAATCATATGAATGTGTGTGTGTGTGTGTGTGTGTGTGTGTGTGTGTGTGTGTATATGCACTCCTCCCAAAAAAAACGCTGTGCTAGAGTTCCGTCAGGTATGCCACGGGAAATTATCCAACTAAACTTCTTTGGGCTGTTAGTCATCATTCATTAATAATATAGTGTGTATTTTTCGTATCAATGTCAGCGACGTTTAGTGAAAGGCTGAATAATTACTCCCCATTGATGGGACATTGGGATTTCCTAGGGACATTGTAAGAAGTGATCATTTATGGTATTCATAGAAATTTAGCGTTGCATATTGATGTTGTGTGTTTCTTACCTTGTTAAATCCTCATTGATAATTATTGTGAGAAATTAATACTTGTCAGTGTCCTCACATACATCAATACCATTAATTAATCTAAATATTAAGGACATCAAATCCCATGCAATTTGAGCAAATTTGTTACTTCGAGAAGTGTGGAATGATCAAACTGGTAGCTCTTCGAAATAATCGGTATAAATAGCTCAGGCTGAGATGTGAATGACACCTACACGCGAGGCCATTTTGACTTTTATAAACATGCGTAGCATGACATGGTTTGTGCACATGTCATTCGATGCCATGCATTGTGCCTATGCGTGACACTTCATGAACGCATCTGGTTAATTTATAAATCACTTTTGTTTTTGTAATGTGAATTGGTGATGTGGATACACTGAATAAATGCACATGAATTAAAGGTTGGATTTTACTTTTTTTTTTTTTGGCCTTTGGGCTTTTTTTTTTTTTTTTTTTTGGCTTTATTTTATTTTGGGGGGGGGGGGGCCCAAAATTTAATAGAGGCTAAAAAAACACATCTTAACCTCCGGTGCTAATAATTATGGAGGGCAGTGTAGCTTTACTCAAAACGTTAAGTATTCCTCCCAAAACAACATAGTCCGGTTCAGTGCCACTGTAAACAGAATTTACAGAAATAAACACGTTCTGAGATTGACACCTCTGACAATGTCACCAAAAGGAACATTATTTCAACTTTAAATAATGTTCAAAGCTAAGGTAAGGTAAACTATAATTGGTCATGCATCGGAGTGTGCTGAATGAAGTAGCCAGTGACTGTGTTCTCGATTTATTCTCGTGAACGGTTTATGCTTGAGCAAATCAACTTTTTTATTTCTGTCCTAGAGCGCTAAGTTAACGAAAAACATTTGAGTTTACCTACTGCAACCAAAATTCCACAGAGGGCAAACCCATTCTTTAAAGACACTCATTTACTCATTTCAGCGACCGTTTCGTTTTGACAGATGCGCCCTTATATGTGACATCAGGTTTTCATTCCACACTAAAACCTTTCTTTCTCTTCTGCTGAGTCATGGTTGAGTCATTTAGAATCCTCCACGCTGAGTGTGTTGGTGTCTGGCTAATACAGCGCCTAACACGTTTATATGAGGTTTATGATGCAGCTACCTATGTTAACAACCTTGACAATTTCCAAAATATTTTTTGGGTTTGTTATGGTTTATATAGCATAATTTTTAACTCAATTAATAAAAAAAAAAAATAAAAGTACTGTTTTACAAACTATACTGTAGATATATAGTTACTTGTCACTCCGGAACAGAAAAAAAATGAATTTGGAGATGAATGCTTGACTTGATTAATTTACGTCTCATGAAAGGCTTGTGAGCCATCTCAAATTTATAAATAAGGGGAATTCAATTTGAGATTCATTCATCACTGTTGCAACATGCGCGCGCGCACACACACACACACACACACACACACACACACCTGAAAGGAAGTTCCCAGACCAACCAGCAGCTGACTCATTCACACATTTCTAGTACCCGGAGATTCCCTGAATGAGTAAGTGGGAGGCCTTTCTGGTGTCAACTCTTTTGTGAGCCATTGTTTTGCATAAATCACGTGGGAAAACTTGAACTACATATCACTGTGTGTAGCTGTGTGTTTCATGCTTTTTTTTCTACTAAAAGGACGATTACCAGCTGTCCTCAGCTAATTTTCTAGTTGAATTTGCAGTGAAGTGCACATGTTCCAGGAATGTCTTCAAGATTACTTAAGAAAAATGCCTCATGTTAATGTACTGCAGCATACATCATTTCCGCATGGATTTTCGCTAAGGGAAAGACAAGGCAAGCACACTGGACTAAGGCCGAACAAAAAAAATAGTGTGTTTCCGGTAACAAGAAATTTCAGCATAGGGTCGGTAGGTCGGACAAAGTTTTTTGTTTTTTTTTTAATGTTTTTTTCTCCCCCCCATCAAAAATTTAAACAAAATAACCATAAAACATAAAACAAGAAGACATAAATAGGCGCCACCGCCACCTATTTAGTTTTCTCCCCACTCCGGACTCGGGGGGCCGGGGCGCGCGGCCGACTCCG